CTGATGGATGGCACCCTCTTCGATTCCAGGTCAGGGGCGTGGCCTGAGGAGGGAGGGTGGGGCTGGGCAGGAGGCAAGAAGCCGGGGTCACCTCAGCTGCCCGGGGTGGCTCTGAGCTGTCAGCAAGGGCAGGGGCCCCCCTCTGACTCCCTTGCTGGCCTCCCCACCTTGTCCTGCAGCTACTCCCGCAACCACACGTACAACACCTACGTGGGGCAGGGCTACATCATCCCGGGGATGGACCAGGGCCTGCAGGGCGCCTGCATGGGCGAGCGCCGGAGGATCACCATCCCCCCCCACCTCGCCTACGGGGAGAACGGGACGGGTAGGCCTGTTGTCGCTCAGCTACTCTCCGGACCCCTCAGTGACCTTCCCCTGCTCTGCCCTCTCATCACAAAACCGGTCACCCCCACAGTTCCCGCCACACGGATTCCATCCTTCCCTCCAGGGCAGTCCCCCCACTCCTCTTCCCTCCTGGGAACGTGCTCCTGAGTTTGGGGAGGGGGTGCTTATGGAAAAACAGAGACAGCCTAGCCCTGGGAAGCAGAGACCTGGAGTTGAGACCCAGCTTTGCTGGAAGGCCAGCGTCCTCACCTGTAAGATGGGACTAATCCCCTTGATCAGCCAGGTGAGTCGCTCGGAGGTTGCGCGGTATAAAGGGCTTTCTAACCGGCTGGTCCCTCCCTCCCTGCCCCCTAGGAGACCTGACTATGTGGACAAACACCCCATCCCCTTCTCGTGTGAAACCCCAGGGCAGTTTCACGGAGACCCTGGGGGGCCCCTCCTGGACGCCAAGCTGACCCGCTGCCCATTCTGGTCCCAGGAGACAAGATCCCTGGCTCAGCTGTGCTGATATTTGACGTCCACGTCATCGACTTCCATAACCCCGAGGACCCCGTGGAGATCCAGACGCTGTCCCGGCCCCCCGAGGCCTGCAACGAGACCAGCAAGTCCGGGGACTTCGTTCGCTACCACTACAACTGCTCTCTGCTGGACGGCACCAAGCTCTTCTCCTCGTGGGTCTGGGGCGGGGCCAGGGGCGGGCAGGTGGGTGGGCCCAGGTGAGGGGAGACCTCCAGATAGCACCCCCTTCTCCATCAGTTCCGGTCTCTGGGGAGCGGAAGGGGCAGGAAGGGGCAGGGAGGGTGAAGCTTGCGGTAGGGGAGCTGAGCCCTCGAGGCCACATGGTAGGGGCCGTGGCAAGATGAGAAGGGTGTCCCATCCGAGCCTGCGGCCCTGCACGCAGCTGCGTGGGGTGGGCACCCGTGAGGTGTGAGCTGCGGGAGGGGGAAGGGCACTGACCTGGGAATCTGCTCCTCCCCAGGCATGACTACGGGGCCCCCCAGGAGGCAACTCTGGGGGCCAACAAGGTGATCGAAGGACTGGACACGGGCCTGCGGGGCATGTGTGTCGGGGAGAGGCGGCAGCTCGTGGTCCCCCCGCACCTGGCACACGGGGAGAGCGGAGGTGAGGGACAGGTCCGGTCTGACCCACCCGTTTAACCCCTTTCGGCTGGTTCTGTGAACACCCCATGTCCCACTCTCCAGCCTCCAAGAGGGGTCACAGGCCTGGAGCTGGGAACACACTGGCAGGCTCCAAAGCCAGACCCAGACCAGGCCCAGACCAGGACCAGACCAGGACCAGACCAGGCCTGACCGGGCTCCTTCCATTCTCCCTCCCGCCAGCCCGGGGGGTCCCTGGCAGTGCTGTGCTGCTGTTTGAGGTGGAGCTGATCTCCCGGGAGGAGGGGCTGCCCGAAGGCTACTTGTTTGTGTGGCACCAGGACCCTCCCGCCAACCTGTTTGAAGACCTGGACCTCAACAAAGATGGCGAGGTCCCCCCAGAGGAGGTGGGTGAGGATGCAACCCTGACAGTACCCATCCCCACACTCGCACCTCGCATGGCGGCCTCTAGCAAGAACGGGGCACATGTCCACCCTCCCGTCTGGGCCCGAGCTGTAGGTCCCTTGTCCCTGCCCCAGCTCCTCTCCTCCATCCTCACGGGCTGGCCTCCCTGGGGGCCCTTGCCAAGGCCCCCCAAGGCCGCTCAGGCACGAGGCTCACGCTCCCCCCCCCCCCGGCTCTCCTTTCCCCCAGTTCTCCACCTTCATCAAGGCTCAAGTCAGTGAGGGCAAAGGACGCCTCATGCCAGGGCAGGACGCGGAGAAAACCATCGGGGACATGTTCCAGAACCAGGACCGCAACCAGGACGGCAAGATCACCAGCGACGAGCTCAAGCTGAAGACGGACGAGGACCAGGAGCGGGTTCATGAGGAGCTCTGAGCGCAGAGCCTGGGCCCGGGCCCCACACCAGCGCCCACCTCTGGGGACAGTGGGCAGAGGGTTGACTTCCAACAGTCACCCCCCCCCGCCCCCCCAACCCCACTGGGAAGAGGTCTGAGCATCTCAAAAGTGGGCAGAGGAGACCGTCTGGTCTTCCCACCAGCCTGAGCGCAAAACCCACAGCACAGATCTCCTCTCGGTTTCTCTCCTCCAACCCCAGGCCAGTTCCTTGAGTTACAAAGCCAGTCTGGGGGCTGGTGGAGGCTGGGGCTGGATGGGGCCATTGCTGGCCCCCCACCCACACCTCCACGTCACCACGGAGCATGGCCGAGCGAATCATTCCTGTTTCCCCGCACTCCGCTCTGTACCTTTCCTCACCATCCCCAGGCCCGCCCCCTTCCCCGTCATGGCAGCTCCCCAGGGGCCTGGACCGGGCCGGCAGAACCCCGTCTTCCTCCCACAGCCACAGCTGGCTCCAAAGGAAGGGGGGGCTCAGGAGAGCAGCCCTCCCACACCCAGGTCCCCAGCACCTGCCCGCCCCACTGCTGCTGGGGTCCCCTCGGGGAGCTGCAGGTCAGGGCTGGGCTGTGTCACCTTTCATCCCTGAAGAAGGCTGAGGAGGACATCGGAATGAAAGGGCGGGGTGAGGACACCTACTTAGATGGGTCTCAGAGCTACAAAGTGAAATAAATCCTTGGTTCGGAGGGAGATGAACTTAGAAAGGCTCGTTGGGGACAGGTGAGGGGAGTGGCAGAGCGCTGCACTCAGAGCTGAACTGGTGTCGGATCTTTCTCCTTTCTGACGAATAAAAGACCAAACCAGAGGCCTCAGGAAGTGGTCTTTCACTGGGGGAGGCTCTCAGACCCAAGGACTGAGGAGCGAGGGGAACAAAGCAGGCTGTCTCCATGCCTGTGAGCTCAAGGCTGTCCCTGGGTCTCGGTCTCCTCCCTCCAGAGCTGCCTGCCTCCCCGAGATCCAATCCTTTGGCCCTGCTCCTGGAAAGGGAGCCCCAGTCTGCCAGGGGGAGGGCAGAGAGGGGGTGACCACAGAGAGGGGCCTGCAGGGGAGGTGCGGACAGATGATCCCTGTCTCTTAACTGTCCCAAGTGAATGGAAAGACGAGGTCTCTGACCTCAAACACAACACACAAAGCTGAGAGATTAAATCGCAGAGGCCGGATCCCACCCTCACGTGGGTCATTTTCAAAACTGCTGTTCCCACCTCTCCCTGCTCCTGGCTGCAGGCCATTGCCACCTGCCCCATCCTCCCTCTTGTCACAGGAAAGTACCTGAGTTCAAATCGCCGGGGTTTTGGGGGAGGAGTTGGCGTCAGCCACCAGCCAGGCCATCTGCCCTCACCTGCCCTGCAATGGAGAGGACCCAAAGCATGCCAGGACGGGGTCGGAGGGGGTGCTCGGGAGAGAAAATGATGGACTGGTCACCGAACTGCCCCACGAGCAGATTTCTGGCCCAGGATCCCCTGAGACGTGACCTCTCCCCACGGCCACTCCCTGTCCCAGAGCATCCCCGGAGGCACCTCAGGGTCTGACCCTGTTTACAGACTCAGCCTTAGAGAGAACCTCTCCTCGCCCAAACCTAACGGGGCCCATGTGCGGGCAGCAGGATGCAGGCCCAGCTTGGGCCAGAAACACCCTACCCTCGCTCTAGCCCCTCACTACGGGGAATGGGCAAGTTACTGGCCCTTTCTTGGCCACCTAGACCGGCCGGGTCACTGTGATGTTTAATGGCGCACACAAGAGGTACCACAGCAGGATTCACCCACAGTCCCAAGACCTTCCCCTTCAGATCGACAGGTAAACATGTTCCCAACAGCCAGGCACCCACGGGAAGGGCGAGGGACTGAATTTCTCTGAGAACAGGCTAAGAAAACACCAGGTAAGGTGGTGGGTCTACATTGTCTTCAAAAGGTACCCCAGAGAGAATTCAATTAGTTCCTTTTTAAAAAATATTTTTATTGATTTCAGAGAGGAAGGAAGAGGGAGAGATAGAAACATCGATGAAGATGAGAGAGAATCTGACTGGCTGCCTCCTACATGCCCCCCTACTGGGGATCGAGCCGCAAGCCAGGCCTGACCAGACTTGAACCATGACCTCCCGGTTCATAGGTTGATGCTCAACCACTGAGCCATGCTGGCCGGGCTCAGCTAGTTCTTGACCAAGTCAACAGGGAGGGGAGAAGGGAAAAAAACTTTGAAGAACACCCACCAATACAAGACAACAGAACATAAACCACTTCTAGTTTACTTTGCCACAGAGCGACTTCTCCCTTCAGGTCCCCGGTCCCAAACCCCACCCTCCCACCCCCCCACTCCCGCTTACATCACCCATTTTAGTGGCCCTGGACCCCCAAGAGGAGGAAGGAAGGAATCAAGGTCATCAGGGAAAATCGACACCCAAATGGATCCCTGTGGGGACTTCTAAAGGGGCTCTGCACACAGGGTTGGCCAAACCCAACTGAATTTCCAGTTTAGCAGCTGCATCAGAATAAAGTCAAACCACTCCAGGTCAGAAACACACCCTGCCGGCCTGCCACCCTGACCCCCACAGACATATCCAGGCTGTGCTCAGAGGGTCTTCGGGGCTCATTCAGTGGTTTCCAAATCGTGTTCTGTGGAGCCCTAGCGGCTTCTGGAAGGCTCCTGCACCTCCAGGACCTAAGGGTACAGGCTCTGCACCCCCAACCCCGAAATCAGAACAGCTCTGGTTTCTCCTTTTATTTTTATCTACTTTACACATTCGATTTGTTTGAAGAACAGCATCCCATGTTAAACATTTTTGAAAAAACACCAAAAAACGAATCCTGGACCAAATGACCCCCGGGATGCAAACAGCCTGCAGGTCCGATTCAGGTTGGTTTTGCCCTGAAGCTGCTGGAAGTGGCTTTAGCTGCCTCCCACCTGCCAGGGCCTCCCTCCGGCCTTGGAGAACTCACAGGAATGTGCCAGGGAAAGGGGAGGGAAGGGCGCGGACCCAGCAGCTTGTGGATGTCCTGAGCTGCCCTCTGTACACACCAGGCTCACCGCAGAGCAGCCCCTACGGAGGCTCCCTCCGTGTCTCCGCCTGCAGACAGGCCGCGCCTGCGCACTCAGGAGCCCTGCATCTCCACCCAGTCCCCCTGGTGCAGGATGTGCTGCAGCAGCCCGTTGACCACGTCCAGCGTCTCGTCCTTCTCCAGCACAATGTCATAGGAGGCCATGTAGCGCTCCCGCTGCTCCTCCACCTGCCGGGGAGGGGAGACGGAGGGTCCCTGCAATGCCCCGCCTTCTGCCCACTGCCGCTGCCTCTCAGGCACCTGGAGTTGGGGGAGGCGTGCGTTCAAGCCACAGATCCCCTAGAGGAGTTCAAGGTCACAGGGCCTGCCTTTTGGAGACACACATGGCAATGGGCACAGGCGGCCACAATAAACTCTGGGGTCAAGAGGACAGTAACAAGGATTAAAATTTAAAAGCCAGATGTCACCTCTAATCTACGTGGACTGGATTTCCACAGGCTCCAGCACACGGGGAACTCAGGCACGTGCTGGCTGAGGGTAAGGACTAGTGGCCTTCCATCCGATACCACGCTGTGGCCCTCGATGACCGTCCTGTTTTCACCCGTCGGCCTCTGTTCTAGTATCTTTCTTCTCTACATTGGGAACCCACATCCTAAAACCCGGACATCTGCCATCTCCATTATGCCTGACAGGTATGATTTAGGACAGTGATTCCCAAAGTGGGCGCTACCGCCCCCTGGTGGGCGCTGCAGCGATCCAGGGGGGCGGTGATGGCCACAGGTGCATTTGGGGGCATATATCTTTCTGTTTAATTGCTATGAAAATTTTACAAGAATTAATTTCCAGGGGGCGCTGAGTAATATTTTTTCTGGAAAGGGGGCGGTAGGCCAAATAAGTTTGGGAACCACTGATTTAGGAGGACGGCAATCAGCCCTGCCACTTCCTCAACTACGTCACCTGGGCCAGTTACTTACCCTCCTCGCCTGTTTCCTCGTCCTGCAAAATGGTCTAACAGTCACTACCTCAAAGGCTGCTGTAAGGACTGAATGGGTTCATGTCCCTGCACATGGTGAGCACTCAGCCAGTGGGGGCTCCAGTGAAATGCCTGGCTTCACCCTGCCTCTGAGCTCGTTCATCGCTGGCCATCTCGTTTCCCTACGAGATTCGGGATCTTCTCCTCAAGAACATGCCTTGTGTCTTACCTCTGTACCTCCAACACCGAGTGCAGTGTGCAGCGCACAGAAGGTGCTCGGCTCGAAAAGCACGTTCACAGAAACGGAAGGGGAAGCAGGCCATGAAGGAGGAAGCCCTGGCCCCTACCCACCTTGTCATTCAGGAAGCCGATCTTGAGGATGTTCTCCACACCCGGGACCCCGTCGGCCATGGTGAGGTCCCCCATGGTGTCCCCCAGCAGGACGACGTTGGTTTTGCCCTGAAGCTGCTGGAAGTAACTGGAGTCCTTGCACACGGAGCTGTTCTTGTTGTATGTGTGTATGAGCTGGCCCTTGAATCCCTGTAGGAAACCCTAAAGGGCCAAGAAGAGAGACCGACAGGAGGGCTACAGGGACCCGGCCAGCACCAGTTTACCACGGCCTCTGTCACAGAGACAAGGGAATTCTGAAAGCCACAGAAAACACCAAAACCTCATTGTCGTCTAAGCTAGGCGTCGGCAGTGTAGAGCCTGTGGGTCGAACTTGGCCTATTTTTGTAAATGAAGTTTTGCTGGCACACAGCCATGCCCATTGGTTTACATCTTTCTGTGGCTGCTTTTCCGCACAGCGGAGCGGAGCAGTTGCCACAGAGGTCGTATAGCCCATCACGCCACAGGTTATAACGTTTATAATCCCTGGTTTAAACTTTTAAACGATCAGGAGCCATCAAATATAGTTGGTCACCCACTCCTACAGGGAACCACTGATTTAGGAGGACGGCAATCAGCCCTGCCACTTCCTCAACTACGTCACCTGGGCCAGTTACTTACCCTCCTCGCCTGTTTCCTCGTCCTGCAAAATGGTCTAACAGTCACTACCTCAAAGGCTGCTGTAAGGACTGAACGGGTTCATGTCCCTGCACATGGTGAGCACTCAGCCAGTGGGGGCTCCAGTGAAATGCCTGGCTTCACCCTGCCTCTGAGCTCGTTCATCGCTGGCCATCTCGTTTCCCTACGAGATTCGGAATCTTCTCCTGAAGAACATGCCTTGTGTCTTACCTCTGTACCTCCAACACCGAGTGCAGTGTGCAGCGCACAGAAGGTGCTCGGCTCGAAAAGCACGTTCACAGAAACGGAAGGGGAAGCAGGCCATGAAGGAGGAAGCCCTGGCCCCTACCCACCTTGTCATTCAGGAAGCCGATCTTGAGGATGTTCTCCACACCCGGGACCCCGTCGGCCATGGTGAGGTCCCCCATGGTGTCCCCCAGCAGGACGACGTTGGTTTTGCCCTGAAGCTGCTGGAAGTAACTGGAGTCCTTGCACACGGAGCTGTTCTTGTTGTATGTGTGTATGAGCTGGCCCTTGAATCCCTGTAGGAAACCCTAAAGGGCCAAGAAGAGAGACCGACAGGAGGGCTACAGGGACCCGGCCAGCACCAGTTTACCACGGCCTCTGTCACAGAGACAAGGGAATTCTGAAAGCCACAGAAAACACCAAAACCTCATTGTCGTCTAAGCTAGGCGTCGGCAGTGTAGAGCCTGTGGGTCGAACTTGGCCTATTTTTGTAAATGAAGTTTTGCTGGCACACAGCCATGCCCATTGGTTTACATCTTTCTGTGGCTGCTTTTCCGCACAGCGGAGCGGAGCAGTTGCCACAGAGGTCGTATAGCCCATCACGCCACAGGTTATAACGTTTATAATCCCTGGTTTAAACTTTTAAACGATCAGGAGCCATCAAATATAGTTGGTCACCCACTCCTACAGGGAACCACTGATTTAGGAGGACGGCAATCAGCCCTGCCACTTCCTCAACTACGTCACCTGGGCCAGTTACTTACCCTCCTCGCCTGTTTCCTCGTCCTGCAAAATGGTCTAACAGTCACTACCTCAAAGGCTGCTGTAAGGACTGAACGGGTTCATGTCCCTGCACATGGTGAGCACTCAGCCAGTGGGGGCTCCAGTGAAATGCCTGGCTTCACCCTGCCTCTGAGCTCGTTCATCGCTGGCCATCTCGTTTCCCTACGAGATTCGGGATCTTCTCCTCAAGAACATGCCTTGTGTCTTACCTCTGTACCTCCAACACCGAGTGCAGTGTGCAGCGCACAGAAGGTGCTCGGCTCGAAAAGCACGTTCACAGAAACGGAAGGGGAAGCAGGCCATGAAGGAGGAAGCCCTGGCCCCTACCCACCTTGTCATTCAGGAAGCCGATCTTGAGGATGTTCTCCACACCCGGGACCCCGTCGGCCATGGTGAGGTCCCCCATGGTGTCCCCCAGCAGGACGACGTTGGTTTTGCCCTGAAGCTGCTGGAAGTAACTGGAGTCCTTGCACACGGAGCTGTTCTTGTTGTATGTGTGTATGAGCTGGCCCTTGAATCCCTGTAGGAAACCCTAAAGGGCCAAGAAGAGAGACCGACAGGAGGGCTACGGGGACCCGGCCAGCACCAGTTTACCACGGCCTCTGTCACAGAGACAAGGGAATTCTGAAAGCCACAGAAAACACCAAAACCTCATTGTCGTCTAAGCTAGGCGTCGGCAGTGTAGAGCCTGTGGGTCGAACTTGGCCTATTTTTGTAAATGAAGTTTTGCTGGCACACAGCCATGCCCATTGGTTTACATCTTTCTGTGGCTGCTTTTCCGCACAGCGGGGCGGAGTAGTTGCCACAGAGGTCGTATAGCCCATCAAGCCACAGGTTATAACGTTTATAATCCCTGGTTTAAACTTTTAAACGATCAGGAGCCATCAAATATAGTTGGTCACCCACTCCTACAGGGAACCACTGATTTAGGAGGACGGCAATCAGCCCTGCCACTTCCTCAACTACGTCACCTGGGCCAGTTACTTACCCTCCTCGCCTGTTTCCTACATATATTTTAATCTAAAAATATATAACCCATATAGGGTTTCCTAGAGGGATTCAGGCCCTTTAGGGTTTCCTACAGGAAGCATGAAGCCTGTAATACAAGCACTGTTCAGGCCACGTGTGTGCTAAGCCTTCGCTGCGGGCCACGCCCTAACCACAGTTCAAAGGCACGGAGATTCCGGCCACTGGTTTTAAGGGGAAAAAGTTAGAACGTGGGTGAGTCGGAGCAGCCCACCTCTGGCCCATCTCGTTTCCCTACGAGATTCGGAATCTTCTCCTGAAGAACATGCCTTGTGTCTTACCTCTGTACCTCCAACACCGAGTGCAGTGTGCAGCGCACAGAAGGTGCTCGGCTCGAAAAGCACGTTCACAGAAACGGAAGGGGAAGCAGGCCATGAAGGAGGAAGCCCTGGCCCCTACCCACCTTGTCATTCAGGAAGCCGATCTTGAGGATGTTCTCCACACCCGGGACCCCGTCGGCCATGGTGAGGTCCCCCATGGTGTCCCCCAGCAGGACGACGTTGGTTTTGCCCTGAAGCTGCTGGAAGTAACTGGAGTCCTTGCACACGGAGCTGTTCTTGTTGTATGTGTGTATGAGCTGGCCCTTGAATCCCTGTAGGAAACCCTAAAGGGCCAAGAAGAGAGACCGACAGGAGGGCTACAGGGACCCGGCCAGCACCAGTTTACCACGGCCTCTGTCACAGAGACAAGGGAATTCTGAAAGCCACAGAAAACACCAAAACCTCATTGTCGTCTAAGCTAGGCGTCGGCAGTGTAGAGCCTGTGGGTCGAACTTGGCCTATTTTTGTAAATGAAGTTTTGCTGGCACACAGCCATGCCCATTGGTTTACATCTTTCTGTGGCTGCTTTTCCGCACAGCGGGGCGGAGTAGTTGCCACAGAGGTCGTATAGCCCATCAAGCCACAGGTTATAACGTTTATAATCCCTGGTTTAAACTTTTAAACGATCAGGAGCCATCAAATAGTGTTGGTCACCCACTCCGGTGGAAGCATGAAGCCTGTGATACAAGCACTGTTCAGGCTACGTGTGTGCTAAGCCTTCGCTGCAGGCCACGCCCTAACCACAGTTCAAAGGCACGGAGATTCCGGCCACTGGTTTTAAGGGGAAAAAGTTAGAACGTGGGTGAGTCGGAGCAGCCCACCTCAGGCCCTAGAAAAACAAGTCCAAGCCCTGGAGTAGCCAGGAGGGCGCGTGACCGTGACAGTGACATGGGGCCTGGCTGACCCCAGGGCAGAGAGCTGTTGGCCAAACACCAAAGAGCAGGTCCTTCAAAAGTAAGGGTCTTTAGAGGCATAAATAAACAGATAAATGCTGCCCGAGGACACAAAAGCCAGCACGCCTTCCGCTCCCTCTCCTCCCAGGCAGGGTTACTGTTCAGGGTGAAGTGCCCTGGCTGGTGGTTCCCACCCCATGTCCATTCCCAGCCCAAACGAGATCTGGCTCACATCTTCGTCAAAATCCATGTAGTTGGACACAATGTGGATGTTGGGGTGAAACACTTTCATCTGCCGGATAATTTCCTCCAGGATGTCACCGATGCCCGCGGAGAAGATGAAGAGGGGGATGTTATTTTGGTAGAGGGTGTTGAAGAACGCCTTGTATCCCTCCCTGGAAAGAGATGAAGGGATTCTGAAATGGCACTGCCTCTGTTACTGCTCTGTATTTTCTATTTGGGTTATATATTTTTAGATTAAAAAAATTTTCAATTGAGGTATAAAATACATAAAGTAAGTGGTTAAAGTGCACTAAAGTGTTCAGCTCAATTAATATTGACCTATGTATACACCCATGTCATTACCAACCAGATCAATCCATGTTCCCTCGTGTTCCTCCCAGTCAACGCCATCCTTCCCTATTTTGACTTCATATCACCACTGATTAGCTTTGCCTGTCCCTGAACGTCATATGAACAGGCTCATATTTTTTTGTTTTTGTTTTTGTTTCTGTACTACAATTGAACCCTGAGTAACACAGGGGTAAGAGGTGCTGACCCCCTGTGCAATAGGAAATCCACGTACAACTTGTGATGCCCAAAAAACTTTGGGGGGATTGGTTCTAAGACCTCCATGGATACCAACATCCAAGGCTGCTCAAGTCCCTTATATACAATGGCACGGCCCTGGTTGCTGTGGCTCAGCTGATCGGGCATTGTCCCATGCTGGGAAAGGTTGCCGGTTAGATTCCCGGTCAGGGCACATGCCCAGGTGTGGGCTCAATTCCCAGTGTGGGGCGTGCAGGAGGCAGCCGATCAATGATTCTGTCATCATTGATGTTTCTATCTCTCTCTCCCTCTCCCTTCCTCTCTGAAATAATAAACATATATTTTAAAAGTAAATAAGTAAAAATAAAATTTTAAAAAATGGTGTAGAACAATACATACACCACCAGCAGACTGCTTCCTAGGCAGTACCCAAGGGTAGAAAATTCTTTAGCCATAGCCAGAGAGGGAAAGCAAAACCTTCCCCACTTCATGGCGCCAGGTCTCTTCTAACTCTCCCAGCATCTAACTCCCCTCCCCCCTCTCCCAGCCTCCTTTTGTGAGCAAACCAGTTTCAAATGTTCCCCAGAGCACGCAGCTTACCTAAGCATTGCGTTGGACTCTCTGACCACCTGGGCTATCTGAGACTTCTGAATCTTCTGCTGACACAGGAGATCGTGTGCTTTGGTCCACCTAGAAACAAACACCCCACAAACCCCCAATTCAGATCAGTAAAATGACTTTTCCCTTTTCAGGGCCAAGTCCTCTCTGGAAGGATTGACAACGGAGGTGGCCTCATCCGTCCGTTCCACAGAACCATTTCCTGGAGAACCCTGGCTGTCCTTAGAAAAGGAGGGAGCGCCCGGCCCTCGCGGCTCCGTTGGCTGGAGCTTCACCCTGTATATCTAAAGGCTGCAGTTTCATTTCCCGGTCAGGGCACATACCTAGGTTGCAGGTTCGAGCCCCGGTCAGGGTATGTACAGAAAATAACCAGTGGAGCCTGGCTGGCGTGGCTCAGGAGATTGAGCATCGTCCCATGGACCAAGAGGTTCTGGGTTCGATTCCCAGTCAGGGCACATGCCTGGATTGTAGGCTCCATCCCCAGTAGGAGGTGTGCAGGAGGCAGCCGATAGATGTGTCTCTCTCATTGACGTCTCTCTCTCTCTCTCTCTCTCTCTCTCTCTCCCTTCCTCCCTATTTAAAAATCAATAAAAAACATTTAAAAAATAAAGATAACCAATCCATGTTCTCACTCTCTCCCCCTTCCCCTCGCTCTAGAATCAATAAGCAACACAAGTGAGAGACAAGAGGCAGGTGGGTTAACTGCTGAAGTCAAAGCTCTTCTGAACCCCTTCCTCCGGGAGCCCCTTGGAGCACTGGGGCTCTGTCCAGTGGTACTGGTTTCTATGGGAAGGTTATCTCCCCAAAGCACTGACTCCCCGACACCAAGGGGCTTCTAACTCCCTCGAGGACGCCTGGTGGGCCACCACCAGCAGCGGTCACAGGCAGCTCCAGGTGTGTCTGGACAATTTGTTCTACTAGTTGGGCCTGTGGCATTCAGTTAAGCATCCAGTAAGGTGAGGAAGTCTGTCATCTCATCAGAGCTCAGGAAAACCAGGCCCCCTCCTGGACCAGACCCCCCAAGGGCCAGGGGCTTTCACCACCACTCACCACTCCACCATATGAGGTGACTTCTCTTTGGCGGTCCGGCGTGGGTCAATCTCAATTGGGTAATACTGGTGAAGGAGCGCTTTCAGCTGGGCACCCAAAGGAA